GCCTCCTGCACAAATGTCATTGATGACTCATTGATGACATCACTATCATCATCCTAAAAGCCTCTTGTCTTAAACATGCTGATGCTGAGCAGCTGAACAGGACCATGTTGGAAAGAAACAACAGTCTGATCTCTCAGGTTTCCTGATCATAGTTCACAGTGGAACAAGTTCTGCACTGCAATACAAGGACAATGTTTAGTCTCAGTCTTTCAGCATTATACCATGTTTTGTTTGTTTTCGTATTGTTTCAGAATAAATCCGCTGGAGACAAACGCACAGAGCTGAAGTTGGCTAAAGTCAACATGTACTGTGTAGGAATAAGAAGCCTGTTTGTTACACTCTGTCTGAAATCAAAGGCCCATTGATTCAAAAATTACTGTGAATTTCAAGAATAATTTGGCACCATTTTCTTTGTAAACTGCAAGAGGAGAGGAGCTTCACAAACTACACTCACCACTGCTGTGACCTACATATGCATTTCTGAAATATGAATACAATAATTGAATCTAACAGTCTGACACAGTTTCACCTTCACCATGAAGAGAGCAGCGGAGCTTTAGAGGGAATCATATCATCTGATATCAGGGTCAGTTTCACTGTGAGATTCTTCACAGATCAGCCAGAGAGCAGCGAGCTGGCACTTCCTGACCGAGACAACAGATGGTTCAATCAGCCACGCACCCATAAGTACAGGCTGAAGGATGACGCCAGAGGGGACTCCAGGCCGCCCTGCAGGGACACCAGCAGTCAGAGCAGTCAGAGCAGTCAGAGCAGACAGCAGTCAGAGCAGTCAGAGCAGTCAGAGCAGACAGAGCAGTCAGCAGTCAGAGCAGTCAGAGCAGACAGAGCAGTCAGAGCAGACAGCAGTCAGAGCAGACAGAGCAGACAGAGCAGACAGACCAGACAGAGCAGATAGAGCAGACAGAGCAGATAGAGCAGACAGCAGTCAGAGCAGTCAGAGCAGACAGCAGTCAGAGCAGACAGAGCAGACAGAGCAGACAGACCAGACAGAGCAGATAGAGCAGACAGAGCAGATAGAGCAGACAGCAGTCAGAGCAGTCAGAGCAGACAGCAGTCAGAGCAGACAGCAGTCAGAGCAGTCAGAGCAGATAGAGCAGACAGCAGTCAGAGCAGTCAGAGCAGACAGCAGTCAGAGCAGTCAGAGTAGACAGAGCAGTCAGAGCAGTCAGAGCAGACAGAGCAGACAGCAGACAGAGCAGTCAGAGCAGTCAGAGCAGTCAGAGCAGACAGCAGTCAGAGCAGACAGCAGTCAGAGCAGACAGAGCAGACAGAGCAGTCAGAGCAGACAGCAGTCAGTCAGAGGTCCCACTAAAGCTTATTTAGCTAAAGCTATTAACGACAAAAATGAAAAGCTAGTTGGAACAAAGTTACAGAATTTGTTGGAAAAAGTTTCGGGTTGTTTTTTTTATTTGTTTCTTCACTGTTACTGTGAACAGAGGCTGTTTCCTCTTTGTCTCTTTGCTAAGCTAAGCTAACAGTAGCTTCTTATAAGTGGCATCAATCTCTCTCAGGAAAGTGAAGAAGATCATTTCCCAACATGTCAAACTTCCCTCTATGTGACTTCATCACTTTTAATGGATTCTGCTTTTACTACTTCTTCAGTTAACAGTCTGAACGCTGTAAAGTGGTTTCACATGAAAAGTTCAACGCTCTGGTTTGTGAAATATTTCCTGATTAGGAAGCATTCAGACTGATGGCATGTTGATTCAGAGTGAGCCAAAGCAAAAACCAATCTCCCCCCTCATGTTACTGTAATCTGCAGCATGTGACCCCCTCCCCTCGGGCCTGATGACGGAGGGATGCTGGAAAACCTGCAGCGCTCACCAAACCAGTGGCCGGTCTGCACTGAGAGGATTTAAGGGGAAAAAACACAGCAGCTCTGGGACACATATTATATTCCCACTGGTAAATCCGCTCCAACTCATTACCAAATCCTCGCCGCAGGGCTGCTAATCTCTGCAGGGAGACGGACCAGGTGCCAGTCTCTCTCTAATGGAATTGCACGGCGCTTTAAGTGATTGCATCAACAACTGCCAGTCCTGATAAATTAGATTAGAAGAAGAGGAATCCTCCTTGTGCAGCGAGAAGGAACTTCTTCATAATCCAAAACAAAAGTGGAGTGAAAACCTATTACAACTGATTTACATGCGTCCAGCCTGAAACCACCTGATTGATTAAATATTGTTTTCTATCTGTTCTCTTCACTCACGGGGGGGGGGACTTGTCAGACAGGAAGATGATTGGAAGAATTCCAAGGTGCGATAGAAGATAAAAATAAGATAAAACCCAAGAGTTTTAGGTCACAATTTTCAAAACAACCTCGGCTCTTTTTTTTTACTCTTTACAAAAAGATATTTTGGCCCAAATGCTGAAAAAGTGATCCAGCTCTCCAGTTTTTGGTGAATTCTTGTGAAACAAACCTTTACTGATGTGGATGAAATGTTTTGGTGCTTGAAATTGGTTCATAAAAATAGTTCAATGTGAGTAAATCAAAAGATAAATGTAGACTAAATGCCTAAAATGAAAGTGTTGTCTGTCACTCTGCTTTACCAATCTTAGAGGCCTCGTAGCTCCGGCTCTGAGTCACATACGATCTCACAAGAATATTAAACAGAAAGTGGAGAGTCGATTTCTACGCTTCATTATCACAGAGATATTAATAGAAACATCCGTCGACCTCAGAGGGTTAAAGCTGTCATCATCGAGAAGAAGAAGCTTGATGAATGAATCTTCTGTTTCTGCTTTAGTGGATCAAAATGTTCTGGTTTTGATCTGATGAGTAACTGTTCACACACACACACACACACACACACACACACACACACACACACACACAGGAGAGGATATGGTTCAATTTGCATTTTGAAAAGCTGCTCTCTCCCTCTCACTTCATTTTTAACTCACAGCTTTTACATCCGTGATTAAAGGATTACTCAGCTGCTAAAATCTTTGTTTCTGATTGAATATGACGAGCTGACATACGGATCAGCGGCTCCTCTGATTGGTGGAGCTGTAACTGGGAGAAGAGCTGTGGTTTCCAGTTTAGCAGCGAGCGGCTGACGCTCTGCAGATTAACACAGAGAATCAGAAACACAGAGTCACACACGTCAGTCCGTTTTTGATTCAGCTCCATAAACCAATCTATTTCTATGAGCACAAGTTCCTGCACAGCTCCAGGGAGAAGCTTGATCAATGTGATCAACACTGACTTTTGTCACCAGGAGCAAGTTTGTTGAAAATGGGGCAAGAAGTGAAGAGCTGTCAGATGATAACTCATACTTTACTCTGAATTATGAATGTGTTGCTGCTCAGCTGCTGACTTGGAGGCTAAAGGCATTGTGGGTAAAGCTGTGCCCTGTACAGACATGGTGAAACCGTGTGTCGTCACAGGCGACGGCTCAGTGTGTGACTTCACTGACTCAGAAAATAATATAATTCTGGATTAATGCATGACATTAAAAATCCTCACTTGCTGTTATTCACAATGCTAACTGCTAACTGCTAACTGCTAATTCAAGAGTTCAGACATGGGCTCAAAAGACAAAACCTGCACCAACTGACACTCCGACAGCACTGGGAGGTTTTACAGCAGGTAACTGCACCTGTCATTAACTCTGGGATAAACAAATGTCTCACAAATGCAAAGGACAACGGCTCAAAAATGACTTGTGAGGTCAAAATGACCTTTGACCCCTAAAATCTAACCAGTTCATCCTTGAGTCCAAGTTTTTACCAAATATGAAGAAGTTCCTTCCAGATGTTTCTGAGAAATCGTGTCCTCGAGAACAAGACGGACGAACTGAAAACAAGATGGCCGCCGTCTCCTCTGACTGTCGGAGGAATAAAAACAGACTCCATGAAGTTACACGTGTCTGAAGGACATCAAGGTCCAGGTTCACTAGAGCTATTCTAACAGCACAACATGTGAGAGGAAGATGATGAAGATAATGATGATGAAGATGACGATGATGATGAAGATGACGATGACGATGATGACGAAGATGACGATGATGACGATGAAGATGATGATGATGATGATGATGTTGTTAGTTTGTGTCACGCGACACAAACTAACAAGTAGAAACAACTGTGACAGTCACCATGTGCAATAATACAACTCACCTCTGTCACTTTTCTGCAGCAGATTGTTGTTGTTTTATTTCAGTATTTAAATTGAACGTATTAAATCTTTATTCTTTTCTCATTTTGCAGTTTTTCTTTCTTTGTTGCTGCTGCAACACGGTTCGTTTCCTGACTGTGGGACTAATAAAGGAACACCTGATCCTATCTTACACAACAGTGATTAGCTTAAGTTTGTATTAACCTCAGTTTCTAAGAAGACAATAAATCCAGTTTATTCAGGGAGATATTTGCAGCATCAGCTCTTATATCTGTCTACATGTGCAAAAGTTTATTCTCCATCAGGTTTTTATAAAAATGGGAAGGAAATTTCATTCACCATCATTTCAAAATGTGAGCAGATAAAACCAGATCTAGCTGCATGTGAGATCCAACATGTAAATAAGAAGGTAACAGTTTAATGGATACTGCACATCAGCTGATTACCTGCTGTAAGTGACAGTGAGAGGTCTGAGCTTCAGTCGTTGGTCTGCAGCATCATGAGTTTATCCACTGATCTGATCTGACTCCAGAGCGACGACACGGTTCCTGCGTCACTGAGTGTGATCGCTGCTGTTCAGACTGAATCTTTAACTATCACTTCCTGGTGGAGGAGAGTCCAACAGTTACTGTAAATTTACTGTATTTAAGCAGGAAATCTTCAGTCACATCAGCACAGATCACTGACTCCTGGTTCCTCAGGTTTTTTAAAGCCTCACACATTAAAGAAACATGTTTTGATCATGTTATTAGCCTGGAGTCTGCAGAGCTGCTGCTGTCTGTTCATGTGTTAAAGCATGAGAGGAAAATCAACAAAGAGAAATCACGCAAGTAAATCTTCAATAATTTATTTTCTTCTGTTTGTTTTTCTTTCTTTTTTTTATTTCTTCTGACATGGAACAACTGTCACACAGTTTGGTTTGACACAGTTCTTCTGAATGTACAAAAATATATTTTTTGGTTTTGATTGTGTTGATGCATGTGATGGTAAATTTGTCAATAAAAAGCGCTTTTATTTTTTAAGTATTTAAGTTTTTGTTCATTTTGTCTATAAAATATAACTTCAGATACAAAAGAATAAAAACAGCAGAGACAGAATCAGACATGGACTCCAGCTGAGTCTCTACACGACATAAAAACTAATCAGGTCTGAATTTCCCACATTTGGCTCCTGAACTGTTCGACACTGTCCGGTGATCCTCGTCTCTGCAGCTCAGGACGCAGGAAACATTCTTCTGAGTTAAAACTTCAAAACCTTTGTGAAAGAACAATTTAAAAATTCTAGCAGTAAACTGACGCAGATTTACATCCTCTGATATTCGAGCACTTCACATGTGGAAATGTCAGACACACCGCTCCAGTGGGTCCGAGTCTACGAGGTCTGTGGTGGTTCTGGTTGATGGACTCAGTTCCCGGGGACCAGCAGGACGAAACCGTCTCGACTCTTCTTGAAATCTGCGGCAGCCTGACCGGCTTTCGTTTCCACGGTGACGCTCTTGGGTTTTCCTCGCATGTGGAGCTGAACGGCCGAACGACAAACCTTCACAGGAAACTGGACTTTTCTGATGCTGGAGGAGAAAGAGACAAACATGTTTCTGTGTTACTGTACTGATCAGGTTCTTCACTCTCACTTTTTCTCCAGACTTGTCAACTTTTCTTTCTCCAGTAAAACTCTAAACTTTCCTCAACAAACCGACATGAAACCAACATGAGAATCTGTGATCAGTCTGAAACCTCCCACACGTCAGTGACATCAATGCTCTGATGAATGACTGCAACACTACAATACTAAAGATGGACGTCGCCTCTGTGACCTCACCCACAGGTTTTTGAAGCTCAGAGTGAGCTGCTCCACCGTCGCCATCTTGGCAGTGTCTGACTCCGCCCCCTAACTCCCAGCTAATCCAAATATGGTCGAAGAGGAGGGGCTTGTGTGGAGCAGAGACTTAGATGAATGATGGTTTGTGTCAAGCATACGCTCACCCCCCTGTCACTCAAAGAGGCCCCGCCCTCAATCCTCCATAACTGTAGTCCTTAATAAAATGTAAACAGGTGAGTTACATAAACAGGTGAGTTTTATAAACAGGTGTCATGAAGGAGGAAATCAGCTCTAGAGACCAAAACAGTTTCTGTACCAGGCTGTAAACATGTTTATTTCTGCTGTAAAGTTGGACATTTTAACATGGGAGTCTATGGGGACTGACTCACTGTTGGAGCCAGACTCTAGTGGTCGTTAGAGGAACTGCAGCTTCTGGTTCTTCAGTTTTCAGTCTGGAGGTTGTTGTTGGAAGAGAGTGACCTCGTGTTTAGATATTCAAGTCATCTGTCTAATTTTAGGTTACTTATAAAAATGATTATTTCTCTTTAACAGAAATCTGTTCACAGAAGCAGAGTTCTGTCAAACTGCTTTTCTCCAGACAAACAAACTGATCATCAACATCCAACTAGAATCACAACGTCTCTGACTGAAGGAGGAGAAAAGAAATCTGATGCTCATTTAGTCGCTGCTGAATCCTCAGTGATGATGTAGAAACACTGATGATTACAACCAGGAAACAGGAAGTCTGAACGTCACGTCAACCTCAAATGGTTAAATGGTTTGTTATTGATCACCTCACTCTTATAATAACTTCTGATTATTCATCATGACCCACCCCCCCCCGCTGCAGTCAGCTGAAGATGATCCAGTGTGAAGTTGTTGCTTCCTCCTGCAGCCTCAGCCCAGCCACACTGCCCCCCCTGCTCCACCCCCCCCCTCTCGCTCTGCCTCAACACTCCCTCTCCCCGCCTCGCAACCTGATGTCTCCCCGCTCCAGCACACGGCTCAGTCTCCACATACAGAGGGAGGATCTGTGATGAACTGAACTCAAAGGCTTTAAGACGCAGAATAAAACCTGCCAAACAGTTATTTATGGACGCGCCTGAACGTTCATGTGACTGAAGCAGAGCTGGCTCACGCTCACACACCAACACTGGGCCGACTTTGGCAAGAAGGATCTGATGTATCACTTCACACAGTCGGTGAGTCTCTTCACACACTCCAACTTACTTCATGTGATTACATCATGTCAGCTGTTATATAACAGTGATCAGCTTCATACAGACTGAGACAGACCTGAGGACGTACTCTATAACAGCATGTAATGAATACAGACTGAACAGTGATAGAGCTCAGTAATAAACTGTATCAGTGCTGGAAGTCGTGTGTGTGTTGTTCCACATGAAACAGGAAATGAAGCTTCTGATTTAATTTTGTAAAGTGACTGTATGAGTATCAACTGTTCTGTGTAGCATCGTAGCTCTGGATGATCAGTTGGTTTAAACTTCCTCTTCACATGTAAATGAATCAATTTTAGAGAGTGACAGTCACAATGACATGATGCTTCGTCCACACCACTGCGCTTTCATTTTAAAACTACGTTTCCTGCTCTGTCCACACAACTCCTCTGGGGTTGTGTTTTATTTTGAAACTCTGGGGTTGTTTTATTATGAAACTCTGGGTTGTGTTTTATTTTGAAACTCTGGGGTTGTGTTTTACTTTGAAAACTCTAGTGTTGTGTTTTATTTTGAAACTCCAGGGTTGTGATTTATTTTCGAAACTCTGGGGCTCGCACACGCTCAGTGTGGGAGATGGTCATGTGATGTGTTAGTGTGGACGGAGATTGTGGCGGTGTGGTGGCAGCCTGAACTGTCGATGCTAAAGCTAAACACCACAGAGCTAACTCTGTACTGAACACATGAAGATGATATTTATCCCATTATCTAACCCTGAGTCGAAGACCAAAGTCTGTCTTCCGTCTCATTTATTTCCTCTTTATGAAAAGTAGTAAAATAGAAAGTAAGACACAGATTTAAGAGGCGGGTCTCAGAACTTGTTTCCTCAGAGTGTTGGAACAGTTTGGACAGAACATCAGCAGAGATCCATGAACCTGAACTTCTTCTCTTCTTGCTGAGACTCTGTTACGACTCTGAGTTCCAGCTGAACCTGACTGGTTCTGACAAGTCACACCTGGACCCGACCTGACGAGATATATTTTTGCTTTATTTCATCCATTACTGATCCACAAACTGACTGCTGTCTGTCTCTCTAACAAACCATGACAAGCATGAAAATGTCCAAACACCACAAACACCTCAAAGCCTCCCTGAAACCTGGAACACTTCATACAGCAGGTTCAGGCCGAGCGGCGTCTGGAAGAGTCTGGAGCTGCAGGTCAGTGGAGTAAAGATTCGTTTGAGCTGAGGTCAAGTTTAAAGTCAAACTCTCGTCCGTCACTTGATTCTCTCACTATTTACTTTGCTAATGCTCAAAGAATCTGAACTCAATCACCTCACGTTTCCAAAGCTGTGGGTCGCTCCGACAGGTGTGGCCTTCCCTTCTCCCCACAGTCCAACTTGGCTCTTCATCAGACCCCCCCCCCCCCAAACCCAGTTGTCCTGCCCGACACAGAAACCCACTGACCTCCACAGGCTTTTGGATTTGTGCAAGATACTGAATCCGTCCTGCTGCTGCAGTGAAAGACGACACGGGCGGAGCATGTGGAGGGAAACCTCAGAGGGCGGAGGAGCTGCGACTGTGGAGAGGGAGGCGCACAGACAAGCTGCTGAAGACTGAGGTTAAACACTAAACATGGCCGCCAGTCCTCATGTGAGAGCCTCTGTCCAGACACAGCTGAGACATCAACACTATTTATCATCATCATTATTATTATTATTATCTGCGACTGTAAAGCGCTTTGTAAACTGTTCTTAAAGGCGTTATATAAAGAAAGTTATTATTATCATTCCTAAAGATGGGTCTATCTGGATCCATGTTGGAACCTCTAATAACAGACTCCTCCTCAGAGTCTGGGGGTCAAACCAAAAACAAACACAAATCCTAATAAATGAAATGACTGTTGGAAACATGATCTTCATCTCTGGTCAAATGAAGGATGTGTGATCATCTGACTGACTCTGACCTGTTGTATTTACAGTTTGTTGGAGTTTCAGTTTCACTGTGGGAAGCTGAGTGACGTGTGATGAAGCATCGTTTTCTCACGTGTTGTTCTCAGACGCCATGACACGTCCAAACTGACAGCTGTTCATATCCAGCAGCAGCCTCTACATCCAACAGCACGATCTGAAACCTTCATTCAGGACGGACTCACGGAGCTCGGCCTTCATGTCTCAGTTACTGAGGCTCCACACGTCCTCCATGTTTGATCCATTCAGTTTATCATCATTTCCACATCACAGGCAGTCAGCCTTTAACTCCCCCTCAAATAATGTCACACTACATTTAATGAAACTCAACACTTCCTCCAGGCTTTTCACATTTAAAGTCTTGTTCCCTTCTCTTTATAAAAAAAGCTTTTAATGTGAAAAACACGACTTTGATCAAAAGAACAACAAAGAAGAAAAGACTGGAATCAGTGAGATCAGGAAATATGAAACGTTTTATGTTAAACTGAATTTACCATGTGAGCTGTTATAGTAGTTTTTTACCAACAACACTGTTTGTTTGTTTGTTTGTTTGTTTGTTTGATATGTTACCAGCTATTATTAGAGTCAACCAGCTTTAACATGAGACTCTACAGTATCTAAACTCTGGCTGTAGTGTCGGAGCAGAGCGTCTCCACGGAGACATCACTCAGAAACACACACACACACACCACTTTCTATTCTATGTGTGTGTGTGTGTGTGTGTTTCTGAGTGTATGGGGACTCTCTGTATAAACATGGCAGACGGTCTGCTGTCTGCCAGTCCTCCTGCTGCCTCTGCAGTCGAATTATTTATTTCAGTGGAGATGACGCTGCAGACAGAACTGGGGCAGCAGCAGCTCCTGGAAGCCCCCCCCCCCATGATGCAGGATGCTGCTTATCGGATGTGAGCTCGTTCCTCTGGTGTGTGCATGATGGAGAATCAGGTGGTGTTTTATTTGCAGCTGATCAAAGTGTGTTGAGGCTGCACCGTGTCACTGATGCTGTTTGTCCCACTGTGTGAAAATCAGATCAGCAGCCGACGCTCTGAGGAACATCCTGTCGTCTCAGATGAAACATCTCTCACTGACAAAGCCGCCGTTTTCTTTCATCCTGTCGTTTTCTGCTGCTGGACAAAAACTCTCCATCAATAAACTGAAAACAGCCTCATGAGCAACGGCCTCCTGTTCACACACACACACACACACACACACACACACACACTTACTACGCCCCCGCAAACACCACATCACTCCATCAGGTACACGGTGGAGCCGGAGTTGAACAGTTTTAATCTTCTGGAGTCTGAAGCTTCAGGTGATTATGAAACACCTTCCTCTAATGATCCAGATGTTTTTAACGAATAGTTTGACATGATTGGAATGAGTGAATGAAGTGTTTATTTCTCCTCTGGTTGTTAATTGAGCTGATGTCTGTCCTTTAATCACACACTCACCTGTTGCCCCCCCACCCCCACCCCGTCAACACAACCTAGCAATTTCCCCCTGCTATCTAAATTAGCACTTCCCCAGCTGCCTGGCAACCATCGCTGAGGCAACAGCAGCATGTGTGGTCCAGACAGCGGGGGCAACGTCCTCGGGTGTGA